TTAAGTTTAAGTTTATTTACTTTATTAATCCCCTGAGGGGAAATTCAATGTTTTCACTCTTGCTTGTCAATTACACACAGGTCCGAAAGACACACACTTGCACAAACAGGACCTATACATGCACAAAGTGGAGAGATGTCAGGGTGAGGGGGCTGCCCTTGGTGAGGCGCCCCTAGCGGTTGGGGGGTTCGGTGCCTTGCTCAAGGGCACCTCGGCAGTGCCCAAGAGGTAACTGGCACCTCTCCAGCCACCAGTCCGGTTCCCAACCCAAGTCCCTATGGACTGAGCTACTACCGCCCCAAGCAAGTAAAGCAGGATTAATACTTCTGCATCGAATCAGCGCTGTACCTACAGCATAGGTTCTGCGTCAATGTAGAGCTTACGCCATACCCTACGCCGTAGCCTGACATGCACCTACCCAGAAATGTAAATACAAGTCATGGCTATGCGGACTTCCTGTCTACTTTTGTAAGCTGGAACCATTTCCCTCTGTGGAATCGAAGCTTTTATTTTCTTTTATTTCACAGATAAGAATAGCATTTTTTGCCTTGTGTGTGATTTATCCTAGCTTCTTATGAGTATAGGAAATCTCTGCTTGTCTCTAGGCTAATTCATACAATGTAAAATGCCATAGGCTTGTGCTAATAACGTTAGCATGTTGTATTTGTTTGGAAAACATGTTTGGAAGACAGTTGTTTTGTCAGTGAACCTTGTGAGTTGTAATTGAGATGAATTTTGTAATGTTACATTTTATGCATTTAAAATTACATCTAAAACACAATCAAGTGTGCAAAAAGTTAATGAATGTTTATGACTTCAAACTCACCACTGACGACTTCAGCCACACTGCAGGTGGGATCAATACTGCCTATGTGTTTTGGATGTGCAGGGTTAGTGTCGTTACCAAACAGGAGAGCTGCAAGAAAGACAAAACAAAAATTAACTAGCTACTCAGACAGACTGTATGATCATAATTCAAATAAACACAGATTTCTGAGACTCACTGTGCTGGTTGATGAGCATGCGGAAGGAGATACGGTTGGTGTAGAAGCGGTCGAGGAAGTACTGAATGTTGCTGCTGATAAAGGGGTCAAAGCCAAACTTCTCCTTGTACTCGATGACTCCCTGAGCCATGGTGGGAACCACATCGTTGTGACGGTTGCGGATCTCAATCAAGAGCTCCAGGAAACTAAAAATAAAAACATTTTAAGAAGAGGAAATTAAATCCAAAATATTAACACAATCACCAATGAGCAACCTGTCGTCATTTTGAGGATGTTACTTAATAAATCTCAAGAAAGAAATATGTTGCTCAACAGTTGCATCATTTTTTTGCTATTTTTAAAGGCCAGAAAAATGATCAAGAGGAATATCAAGCTTAATACCACACTTCTTTCATTTCCACTGAAGCAGACAATTCTTGGTAGTGTGTTTTCTAAACAGACGGTCTTATCCGAATTCCTGTCTGTGTTTATCAGTAATGTGTGGCTGTTTATCTCAAAGGTGTGGTTACAGTATAAATACGCACTGTTACCTGGACAGTCTGCACAGATCTATGTGAGCAGAGGGGATTAGCTGCAGCGGACCACAGACATACGTAGACCCAGTATGCAACAGCTGGGTGTCTCACACAGCTGTGCTTACTGTACATTATACAACAGTTAGTTCCGGCCCTGCAATCTGATTGGT